AATTACTTCACTGTAATTTTATGATAGTAACATTTCAAACGGTTTTAAGACTCCAGTGTTCAAAACCTTAGCTTTTTACACATCATTTCCTGTTAAAATGTTTCCTATAGTCTTTAAAGCTGGAATTATAAGAGATTCATTTTGTGAATTTAGTAATAAAGTTAATTTTTGAACAACTGCTGGTTTTATTGAAAAATATTATTGACCATCATCATTATTGCTTAAATAATTCAATCCCCAACAAGCATACATTATCTGGGTTTCATCTTCAACTGAAAATAATAGCTCTAAATGAATTTATGTTAATAACTTACTAGGCTATTTTCTCAAATAAATAATATACCTTAATGATAATAGGTTTTTATTTCGCTAAGTTAGCCATAGTCCATATGATTGATGTAAAAATATCTGGATTATTCAATTGATAGCATGGAGCTAATTTGAGTAATTGTTCAACAATTCCTTTCTCTATAAGCATATTTCTAAATTAAACACTTACGCCAGAAATCTTAGCTAAAATGCAAATTACTAATTCAATGATTTCATCAAGTTAAGATTCATGAACTAAGAGAAGGATATTATTTCCATTATTAACAATAATATTTTACATTTCTAATTATGTTACAATATTATAAATAATCCAAAGTGCTTCATATTACAACAATTGAATCTTGCTGTTTATGGCTATTTGAAAAATTGTTATTGATAAATTATTTTGAAGTAAAATTTCAATTAGTTATTCTCTTATTAATGCTAATTGAGAATTATTCAATAGTTTTCGATTTCTATTTAGCCCTTAATATTAGATATTTAGGTCATTAGAATGAACTTAAGTGATATATTCTTATAGCTTATCTAAATCTGCTTCTTCATTACAGAATGTTTAAGAGCATATTTGAGTTCTTCAGTTAATGAGTCTGGTATTAACCTACACAATTTTTTATATTCTTTTCTTTTATTGCACAATTAGTTATATTTTAATCATCCATTTGATAATATTAATCATTGGCATTAATTTTGAGATAAATCTGATAAATTTTTGTTCAAATTCAAAATTTACAAGTTTGTTCACAAATTTTTAATTAATTTAAACTGAAAATTTAATCTAATCTAATAAAACAAAGCATAGTTGTAATAATTTATTTGGTTTCTAATAGAAAAATTGCATTGAATTTTATAAACTACAACTCTTTTTTCTAGTAAAAAGTCTGTTGCAAGCATTACTGAAATAGAAAATGATAAAAATAATTCATTAGCCTTAATATTCTCTTCAATAAGATTAATAAATTTATAAAAATAAATTAATTCTTACTAAATCAATGATGCGGAAAAATTATATTATTTTAGTCACTTTGTTTATATTGAATGTTTAATTGGCTGCTAATCAAATGTGTAAGCAGATAGCCAAGATTATACTCAATCCTTAGGGAAAATATTACAATGTACTAAATTAGAATAGAGGAGGCATAATCTCATATAAATAATTCTATTTTAATATTACATAGACTAAAGAGACATTTTTTAGATAAAATAGGAATCATGACTCTTTCCTTCCAGTATCCTAAATATGAATGTTTTAAGATAATATGTATTGAGCTAATCTGAAGAAAATTTAAACAGTTCCTTCAATCTTAGCTTTTATCTTGTAAATATAGTTTACTAAAGCGTTCATTAATACAGTTTTACAGCATTATTACTCAATTTATACATTAAAAAACTAGTTTGTTGCTTTATTCCTATTATTTTAGATTATTTCATATTTCTGTCCAATGACAATTATATTGCCTAGAATATTTTTCGATTTTTCGGAACTTTAAAGGTATTCTCTAAAATTACAGAATAGGTTTGATCGCTATATTCTAGTACTGCTCATAATCTTAAATTAATTTATGAAATAATAAAACATCTCCAGAAATCTTTATTAACTAAATATTTAAATAATTAACTTCAAGATAATCGAATGAACCAGAGTAATATTTTGATTATGCTATATTTTTCTCAAAGTCTATCTGTGTATATCCATATATTGAATATGTGAGTTTGGAAATGTAGGTATATTGCACTAATATTTAAAAAATTTAAGTACTTTAATACTGTCAAAAGGCTGGTACCCTACAATAATAAAATTAAAACTCTTAAAAAAATTTGAGTAAAATATTTATAGACAAAAAAATCACTTATTATAGAGGAAAGCCTGCTAAATATCAGCATTAAGTGTTTGTGTTTTAACTTTATTTATAGACAGTGTTTGCCTTTCTAATTTAAGATACCATTTTCGAATTGACTTTCCAAAACTGTATTTACTAATATTTTTTTAAATTGTAAAATCAAGTTACAATAATCTAACAATTTTTCAAAATCTCAAACTAATCGAATTTTTCTTCCTCTTTCACAGCTATCAAGTTTTAGTAATTGAACCAGATTGTTATTTATAATTCATTTTTGTCATTTCAGTCTTTATGAAAATTTCAAAAGATATTGTTAGTCAAAAGAGAAGTATAATTAGATCCTAATATTACATTCGATCATAAATCTAATATATAGAGAGTATATTCTCTACCTTTTGAAATTCCACTTATTTTATATTAATTACTCAAGTTGTCATTCCATCTACCTTTAAATCAAACCGTGCTTTCTTATTCAGTAATAAATCTATTATGATACATGTTCTAGAATCTTTCTATTCCTATCCTTTTTCCAAGAATCCGTAGTATTTATTTCTTTGATTCTAATTACTCATCATAAATTCACAATATGTTAAATTTTTGAATTATGAACATTTATATATAGCTTCTTAAGAAAACTTTGATTTCTCAATATAACTTTAAGCCATCTATTTTAATCTCTTGAAAGTAATTCCAAATGAAATAAAAGTTAAAACATATTATCAATAAGTGAACATAAAAATTAAAGATATTAATGGAAAAGGGAATGGAAAGCTCTAGCTGAGTCATCCTGCCTACTTAAGTAGACCCGAAATAAAAGTAAATCTAAACTGAGATTAATTCAATTAATAAAAGTATACAAGTTTAGCTTTTAACTCATTTTAGACCCTTAAATGATATTGCATTATCTTTTGAAGGTACTCTAGGATGTTAAAAAAAATGGCTAAATCAATCTCAACTATATTGGTTGGAAATAGATCCATTTTAGTGCAACGTTTCAAAACTTTTGAAGGGATATTAATCGAAATTAATGTAATATAGTTTAATCAAAATTTGTTAATAGTGAAACATTTGTCAAAACTATATATTTAAGCTAAGGATATTTTGTACTAAAATAGTTAAATATTCATATAAATCTTACAAAATGCTTAAAGATTTTTTATAGTTATTTAAGTGATTCATTTATTTCAATTTTTTATTGCTAATTTGTTTTAGATTTAATGTGTTTTTTAGTAATTATTAACATTTGTTGGATCTAAAATGCCTGAATAAGAATAGAAAATTATCAATACCAAATTTATATATTAATGAAGATTTAAATTTAATTTAATTCTGTCTTCAATCAAAACCGTAATAAATAAATGTTCCTGCTAGTAGCTTTGTCTTAAATTGCTAGTTAATAAAACTATTTTATCAAATTAATTTAATTTTAAATATCAAGGTTTGAAGAACAATATCCAAAATTGTAAGATAGTGATTTCTATCGATGCATCTGTTGAAATAATTCATAAATTTTTAAAAAACAGAGCTTGACTTATACTTGAAATATGGACTATCTCTTAAAAATGTAATAAAACGCTACAACTCATCTCTTTGATTCTTCAATGATATATAAAGCTATGCTGTTTGTTTCTCAAGAACTTTTGGATTTATAAAAATTTTTAGATACCTGTTTCTTTTCAATTATCAAAATATAAAATGATATTAATAAACGCTATCCTTAATGTATGCAATCACTTTTATTTCAAAAAAATAGTGAATCCCTTTGAAGCCTGCCATTGATAAATTACTTTCACATTTCTTAAGCTGTAGATAAAGTCAATATTTTAAACAGCTATTATTAATTGAAACCCAACTTCCAAATTTTTTACAAATAACCATAAGTCATATTTAGCTAAAAAAATAATTTCCTAATCCTTATTAGCAAGACATTAAAATGACTTGATTCTTGTAACCATAAAGCAAATAAAGAATGATTAAATGAATTGAAATCTTTTGCTATCCTTGGGTAAAATATTTGAGATTTGGAGAAACTAAATTCATCAATTAAACAAAATTCATCACAATAGATTTTTTTCTGGATTTCTTCCTTCTTGTCTAATCTACTCTTTATCATATTTAGATAATTTGAAATTATCTCAATCCCACTAATTTATGGGTTAGGGTCAAAAAAAAGTGAAATTTAAAATTACTTGTAAATTCATATTTTTCTGTTTCATAATTTAATCTATACCTTACAAATTTTCAATTGTGTTTCAAATATATTTTTATTTCAGAATTAAAAATGGAGATCTGTTTATGGATCGCTTTATTAGAGTCATCAAATCCATTTACAAGCCTTGACTTTACTTGATGTATGTATTTTTATTTGTTAAATAGTATAAATTTTTCTGGGTAATTTTATTTCTTTTTAGGTTAAAAACTTGGGATATGTTTATCTTAGAGAAGAACGAGGCTTGTTGTTACTAATTAAAATCTTTCAATCTATAAATATAATCAAATTATCAATGACTTTGTTTTTTGATAGAAATTTGATACAATTTCTAGGTTACTCAAAATTATTATTATTAGAATGTGTAATTAATGATTGACTATGGACAGCCTTATGAAATGTCCCAGGGAATCTTTCCAGATACAAAAAATTTGTGTAAATTGGGACAGG